ATAAAGTGAATAATATAATGACAACAAACAACAATGAACAAAGAAAAAGAAAAAAATGCAAACGGTTATTTACTTTTAGGCGCATATCGAAGATAAACGGAAATGATAATAATTGTAAGAAAATTAATTCTCAATCGTTTTTTAATTGTACGTCCCACTTTAATTACAAATCTTGTTCGTAATACTAATACAATTCAACCTTAATATTAATTATTTTATTCAAATTGTTGCATTATTCGTTTTATCAGTTATTCGAATTACGAATTACCTATATACAGTCTGGACCGCGGTCCTTGATTTGACTAGCGGTCTTTGGACCATTAACAATTCTATAAATTCTTATTTTAATCTTATATTAATTCAAATTATTCGTTTTATTCGAATTATTTATTCTTTTTGAATTATTTGTTTTGTTCGATTTATTCGTTCTATTCAATTACACGTTTTATTTGTTTTATTTGAATTATTTGTTTTATTCGAATCATTCATTTTATTCAGCTCATTTTATTCAAATAGAAACCCAAATACTAAGCCTGGATTAGTGTTTGTTTCCAAAACTAGAGAGTTTCGCAACCGTGCGAAAGTCAAAAGGTTTCGCCATAAGTCGAAACTAGTTTTGATTTTGACTATTGACTTTTGATTTAGTTTTGACATATAACTTTTAATTTTAGTTTTGACTTTTATCTCTTCAAATGGTTTTGGTGACCAACACTACTAAATACTAATACTAATTTGACTTTAGAAACCCCAAAACCAATTTAGACACCCATCTATAGTGTGCACCCTTTTCACACTAATAAATCTTGAATAAAAATTGCATTATTTAAAGAAAAACTTTAATATCTACAAAAATTCATCATGATTCCAATGCCTCAACAGTAAGGAATTTTCTTTTCTTTGTTTTTTTTGTTTACTATTTTTATCACTCAAAGTTAAATTTATGTAAAAGTCATTCTACATACCAATATTAACAGCTTATGTGTGTTTCAAATTCAAATGTTCAAGCACATCATTAATACTATTGCATATTATACGTAGTCAACTTCAAAGGCAAAATTCAAAAAAAATCAATTTAACACAACTCAAATGTATGTAAAGACAATTTGGCCTTTTCATTTTATGAAATGTAATAGCTTTAATTTGTAAAAATGAAGAGGTATGAAAAAATAAGTAATTTTATAATGATAATTAAATTAAAATTTAAATTATTATCATCAATAGGAAAAAACAAGAATTTCAAATAGATGATTTGATGCTGAACAAGGAGGAAGTGGCTACTTTTACTTTTATTTTCTTGATGTTTATACCTAAATTTACTAGGTTCATGTCTTTTCTGTTCCTTTGCATAGTAATAGTATAGTAATAGTATAGATTCTGTACCTTCCATATGTGTTGAAAAACTATTTTAATATTTAATATTTTAATTATTTTTATTGTCATTGTTAACTATGTCACATTGCCGTCATGACATCATATCTTTTTTTTAAAAAAATTAATAACTGAAAATAATAATAATCATAATAATTAATAAATTTCTAAATCAGTATTTACATAATAAAGACAGGTTAAGTATTTGTTTAAATTAATTTCTCTGATTGTTTTTTGCAGGATATGTCAAATATTTATTCTCTCTCACTTTTATATTAATATGATTATATAATGATAATGAAAGGGTCGCAATACTCAAATCCTCTTTTTTTTAATATCATTATATCATTGATAGATAAAATCTAAAAAATTAAAACAGGTGAATATTTCTTAAAAAAATTTTTTTTGTAGTTTAATTTTTAGTAATCTTTTCTACCAACGATAAAATAATAATTTTTTTGTATATATGAAAAATCAGTTCTTAATTTGGAAATTTTATCCGTTTTTAATTGCCTTTTTTCGAAAAGTTCTTTTCTAAACAAAAAAATATTAGATTCTTTTATTACATTCGCACTATGAAATTTCATCGACTTAGAAGAGCTACAGAATAAAAAAAGCTCTAGGTGAAATTAGGAAAATCAATTCAAATTAAATTCAAATTCGTTTCATCCCATAAATGTGGTTTCTCTTACTTTGTACTAGACTTGTTGAGCAAGCTCTACAACAACTCTATCCCTCTTTGGTAAGTTAGAATTGACAAAAAATTTTGTGCAATTGTTATTTGCTGTTTGTCAATCAAGATCAAAGTGGAAATTTGTGCCAATGTCAATAGAAAAGATAGTAGCAAACTTCACATTTTTTGCCGGAACATTTACTACTGACAAGATACAATACTGTAATAATAATAAATGAATAAGGTTTGCGTAACAATTTCCGAAAGCGTACAAATAATCGATGAATGACATATTATTGTTATGAACTTTATTGATTGATCATCATAAGTTGTTTAAATTAAATTATCTTGCTAAACATGACTTCTATATATACGGTAGTTTGAATAATAATTTATTTGTTTATTGATAAATATAATTGATAATTAATTTTTTTTTCCTCAAAGATCAATTATGCTTTACGTGCACATAAACGTGATCCTTTTATAGAATTTATAAAGGTATTTTGTCGGGAAAGGAAAGCAACGTATATTTTTTGTAACTTATTGTTATTAAAGATTTTTTTTATAGGGAATGCTCATGACACCATTCGTCCTTCATTCTAAACCAGCAGAAGAGAAAGATATTCAATCATTAAGAAATGATGATTTAGTTGAGGCTGAAACTCATATAGACGCAAATGTTGCAAGATATTGTGACATTTTGAAAAGTATTGAGGAATTGATTGAGGTAAATGGTATTATTATAATTGTTATCATTGTTATTTTACATATACGTATTCTTAATAATAATAATAATAATAATATAGGAATGTATTCAAAAACAAAAACGAGGTAATGGTGAATATAATTTCTAAAAATTTAATAAATCACTTTTTACTCTGTATTAAATAAATATTATATATGATTTAAAGGTTTATTGGATCAATCAAGACTTAAACGATTGGTTCCATCCATATCAATGTTCCATACACCATTGCCATTATGTGATTCATTTTTACTGGCAAATGCTAAACATTCAATTGCAGCACGTCGATTTGTTCCGCCAAGCTTTAATGACATAAGAAGGTAAATAAATCACACATATGTATTTGTTATATATTGTGTAGTGTGTTTATAAATTTATTTTTATTCCAATTATGTTCTTTCAATTTTGTAGAATATTGAACACAGCACAGGTAATAAAATTATTTAAAGATTATTTTGTTTTTAAGAATAAGAAATTATAATTTATAAATATATTATAGATTATAGCAATTGCTCCTAAGCTTAGATTGATAACTTTGTAAGTATTTGGTGAGGTTAGAGAAATCAGAGAAATATATATCGTTTATATAAAACATGCTAATGACAGTATTTATTTTAGTGATGGTGATATGACACTTTATGGTGATGGCAAAGATTTTGAACATAATTCAGCATTAGTTAATCTTCTTGTACAATTACTCAAATTTAACCTTCATGTGTGTGTGGTTACAGCAGCTGGTTATCCAGGGGAGGCTCATCGTTATGAGAAAAGATTATCTGGATTGCTAAAAGGATTTGCTAATGCAGAACTACCAAAAAATGTTTGTGAGAGATTTTTTGTTTTAGGTAAACTGATCTTTCTTTTGTTTTAGGAATTATAACAAAAATTCATCAAATAAGATAATTATATATTATTATTATGTAGGTGGTGAATGTAACTATCTATTTCAATGTACAGATGATTATCATTTAAAATATATTCCAGAATCGTAAGTCTATTTGAGATCAAAATATTAATTCTTGGTATTTGATTGATATAAAGTAAATATATATATATATATTTATGTTATTAATTTAGTACATATCATCCAGAATCAATTTTATCATGGAACGATGAACAAATTCAAGCAATCTTAAATGTTGCACAGAAAAGTCTGCAACGTTGTATTGATGATATGAAACTTCCATGTACAATATTAAGAAAGAGTAAAGCTGTTGGTAAGACTATATGAATTCATTAATCATTATTATTATTATTATTTAAATATTGATTATAATAAAAATTTACAGGCATTGTTCCAAAGCCTGACGTAAAAATATTTCGGGAACAATTGGTTAGATGAGATCTGTGATATATTGTTGTTATTATTATTATATAACAAATTCTTATTAATCAAATTTATTTTTAAAATAGGATGAATGTGTACTTTCAACACAACATAGATTGACTACATATTTAGCAACACCACCAGGCAAGGAACATCCAATACCATATTGTGCATTTAATGGTGGAAGTGATGTATGGGTAGATATGTATGTATATTATAAATATATTTATATTTATATAATACATACATTTATTCATTAGTTCACTCTCATTATTTATTTATTTTAGTGGAAATAAACTTATTGGTGTTCAAGTTTTACAAGAATTCTTTAACACTAAAAAAGCAGAAACATTACACATTGGCGATCAGGTAAGATAAATTTGTTAAAATTAAACATTTTTTTTTTGTTAATCAATAAGTAATTGATCAATAAAATATTTCATGAAAAAAGTTTCTTTCTACTGGAAATGATTACGCAACCAGAAATCAATGTTGTACATTATGGATAGTGAATCCTGAAGAAACTCAAACAGTTTTGGTGGAATTAGTAGCTTTGTTGGAAGCAAAGAGATCAGAGAGATATACTATTGAAAATTAATTATTATAAATTATTATTTTTATTTTCCAACTAATTCATCTTCTTTGATTCATTTTATTCTATTTTCTATTGCAATGAAACCATTGTATTATTATTATTGTAATTTAATCTTGATTTAGATATTTTCTTTATAATAAATATTGATTTTTTTATTCAAGAAAAAAATTGAATTGGTTATTAATATTTACATTATACAATGAGACACACATATATAAATATACAATATATTTTATCATTCTAAAAAAATATATTTATAGATGGTAGTTTTTTTCAATCAGTTTCATCTTTATTATGTATAGAAATTTGCTCTTTTCAATAATTGAATAAACTCATCCTGGTCAACTTCACCATCGCCATTAAGATCTGCCACTTCAATCATTTCATGCAACTGTTCATCATTTATTTCTTCTCCAAGTTCTTTAGCAACACATTTTAAATTTTTAAAAGATATTTTGCCTGTATCATCATCATCAAATAATTTAAATATCTTTAAAAATTCTTCATCTAAATTTCTTTCAGACTTTATAAAAAAATTTTTTTATTAATTTAAAAAATTAATCACATAGAATTAATCATTGCACATAACCAACTAACCATTTTAATTGCCATGAGCCTGCAAAAATTTTCAAATGATATATTTTCATTCTCATCAAATTCATACTGTTCCAATAAATTCTTAATTTCATCCTTTTTAATTTCAATTCCTAAAATTCTCATGGCAACTTTAAGATTTTTTGTTTCCATTTCACCCGTTTTTTCTGTATCAAATGTTTCAAAAGCCTCTCTTAATTCCTCCAATTGTTCTGAACTCAAATCGAACTCTGTTTTGAGCCTTTTTGTGACATGTTTCTTAGTTGTTGAATTTCTATTACTCTTATTGTTACTGGTGGTGGTGGCGATTTTTTTTGATTTTGATTTCTTATTCTTATATTTATCCTTTCTACTATCATCAGGTTCATAAGAGGAATCCGAATTATAAGGTGAATCGCTTGAAGAAGATGGTGAATATGGTGGTTCAGAATAAGTTAATGACTCGTTATCATTTATTTTTTCATTTGACTATAAATATATTTGGATGAGTCAAGAATATATATATATAATAATAATAATAATTGATCTTTTACCATTTTTTGAAGAATTATTTTATTGGAAAGGCGGTGATTTAGAATTATTATTATCTTAAAATGGGATATTGTACTACCCAGAGATTTCAAGGATCACACTCCTTCGACTATTCTTTAGCTTGTTATTACATTATCAACCCTATAAAAATCAGCCTTATGACTGCAACCAAAAGGTTGATAAAATAATTAATCTAGTGGAACCTAGAAAAAAATGTCAACTGGTGATCAAAATACCTAAGAGAGATTTTAACAATTGTTTGATAAAAAGACAAAATTTTCTTGCTTGATGAATGGAAATTGAAAATTTGTGAATTGTGTGGTGGAAAAGGAAAGGAACTGTAATGCAAAAAGCTTCCAAAAAATGAGTTGTTCTGTTTAACTTTTAAAGCAATGGTTTCTTTACCTATCTATCTATACTCAATGGAAATGTATGTGTATTACTAGGCGAATTTTTTTGTCATTGATTCCCATACCAAAGGTATTAGTTGCAATCATAATCTGATTGTGTCATCTCATATTAACCAATTATATGTAAGGTATTCATACATTCATAAAAAACTTTATGTTGGTTTTGGACGAGTGATATCTTTAAATTCATATCTTACAAGTGGATGAATATTATTATAAAGGTATTATTGCCTCTTATAACCCAGAAGAGGACCAATATAAATAAAGCTTTAATTTCTTTTATAACTTCAGAAATATCTGCTTTCCTAATTTTCAATAAAATAAATTCAGCACAAAGATCCATTGGCAACTTCCTGTTTTGACAACACTGGGATTTAGATTAGTGTTGGCTGCCAAAACTATTTTGAAGAGGCGAAAGTCAAAACTAAAATTAAGAGTTATATGTCAAAACTAAATCAAAAGTCAATAGTCAAAAGTCAAAACTAGTTTCAACTTATGGTGAAACCTTTTTGACTTTTGCACAGTTATGAAATCCTCTAGTTTTGGAAACCAATGGTAATTTTGATATATTCCTTTGTCTTAAGTCTGGTCTTATTTTGGTCTAAGTGATGGTAAAATAGTAGATATGGGTTATGGATATTGTATGGATGAGTTTATTCAATTATTGAAAAGAGCAAATTTCTATACATAATAAAGATGAAACTGATTGAAAAA